AGCCAGCTGGTGGTGGGAAGTGGGGGCGTCAAACGGCCCCCCAGAAGGAAGCCCGTGGACTGTGACACAGACCCCCACCCGGCTCCCCTTGGAGATCAGACAAGGCCGCTTGGTGTCGTTTCAGAGCACAAATATTATTTCAAAGTCTGTTTGTGTTCAGGGATATCTCATAGAACTGGGAGGGACCTTGAAAGGTCATTGAGTCCAGTCCCCTGCTCTCACAGCAGGACCAAGCACCATCCCTGACAGATTTGCCCTAGATGCTCCCTCAAGGATTGAGCTCACAAGCCTGGGTTTAGTAAGCCAGCACTCAAACCGCTGAACTATCTCTCCCAGATTATTACTTACCTTCCTTCCTTTCCCTCCCTCTGCATCCCCTTCCTGTTCTGAAATGTGATTTGTCCTTTTCATATGTGTTCATTTTTTTTAAATTGTATCCTTTGGTATATATGGTTGTGACAATTTTCTTCCACTATTTGATCTGAGGAAGTGGGTCTGGCCCATGAAAGCTCATCACCTAATAAACCATCTTGTTAGTCTTTAAAGTGCTACATAGTCCTGTATTTTGCTCCAGATTATTAAGCACTGCAAAACCTGAAACCCTTTTAGTGGAGAAGAAAGACATTAACAACACCTTCAGGCCACGCTCAGACACAACGGCCTGGAGGCACACAGAGATGGTGGCACCAAATATTTTCAAGCAGTTGTGTGAGAAACTGAAAATGGGAACATTTCCCATGGCAACAGATGGATTTTGTAGTATAGAGGATATGGCACAGGTGTTAGCTACACCTCATTAATCTCTGTATTAATCATTTTCTCGTTGAAATTTGTATTTTAACTTTGTATCAAGTCCTTTTAGCATTGTAATAAGTCTTTAGCTTTGTTGCATTAAGTCTTTTTATAAACTTTCATATAGACCATAGAAACTTCGTATGAAGTCTTTTTACATAGAAACCTTGTAGAATCAGTGGTCCCTAACCTCTTTGTGGCCACGTGCCTGGGGCGGGGGCCGTGCATGTGCCGGGCCCCCGGGGGCAGCAGTGCACATGCTCCGCACACCTGGAGCGGGAGCCGCGTGGGCGCCATGTTGTACCCTCTTTTGCTTAAGTGATTGCCCTGTAATAAGGTGTGAATGGATAAGGCATGAAAGTCAAGCATCTCTGGGCACTTGCAAAGGTTGGAGAGGGGCGGAAGCCAGATCCAAGAACAATGAGAAGAACAATGGGACCTGTGAAGTGGGCTCATTGAAAGAAGACTGGACCTATGGAGGCCTTGGGAGTCAGCAGCAAGGGCCTGCTTTGGGAAGCTCCCGCTTTGAAGGAGAATGTGGCAGCACAGAAGAGGGAGCCACAGATGTCTTACTGCATCTGCATATGATGACTCTCACAGACGATGCATCTGCATGTGAAGACTAGCTGGTGGAGATCTGCAGGAGAGGGAGACACTATACATCTCTAAGGCATCTTGCAGGGGGACGCCGGGTTTTCGTCCTGTCAACATGGGAGCATCAATCCAGATTGGCAAAAGCCCGGCTCCACCCTGCCCCCACCTAGCTCACCTGGCTAGTGCAGTTAGGGGGAGCAACTATTAGTAACAACAACAAGAGGGGGGGTGTGTGTGAGTGTAATATATCATATGCATATGATAAGTGTTGACTGCTATATGTGTGTATTTCTAATAAATGTGGCATTTTGCCTTTTCCCCCTGAAAAGATCCCATGCCGTACTTTTAAGTACAACACAGGTAGCGCTTGAAGTCCATTATTTTTTATGCAGAGAAATGTGTGGAGGATGTGTCATCCCTTATACCACATAACTGGCTCATGACAGGTGAAAGTCTGTTTAATTCCGTTAAAGCTGTTTTGTTTAACGAAGATCTTGATCTGTGACTCAGATTGTGTCAATTACAACAGATGGCGCTCCTGCCAAGATAGCTGCTCACATAGTGTTTGTGAAAGGCCTGCAAGATCTGAACCCCAATTTGATTTCCTATCACTGTGTAATCCACCAAACCGCACTGTGTGCAAAGCTCAGCAGTGAATATGCTAATGTAATGTCCATGTGACTACGCTTCTCGACTTCCTTTAGTTCAAGTCATCGCCACAACACAGTCCAAAAGCTTTCTGCTGATTACGAAGGCCTGTTGGTTCATAATGACATCTGCCAGCAGAGGGCCAGTTCTAAGGCGGCGGTGGGAAATCTGAGTTCACATGGAAGAATATTTACATCATATCCTAGGGCAAAAGCTAATCAAGGGTATGTCTACACCACCACCCTAGTTCGAACTAGGGTGGTTAATGTAGTCAATCGAAGTTGCAAATGAAGCCGGGCGCCGTCATTTTTAAATCCCCGCTAGTTTGGACTCCGTGCCCGCGGCTACACGCGGCACGGAGTCGGTAGTTTGAATTAGGCTTTCTTATTCGAACTACCGTTACTGACCAGTCATCACTGGGGTTTGTCTGGTGAGTTTAAGGCGTGTGGCAGGAAATAACCAACCCAGAAAGGCAGTTGTGGGCCTTGATTTTCGTAGGCAACAGGGTTTATTGGGTGCGTCAGTTCCCCTACAGCGTCTGCAACCCAGCGTGCAGCCCTCTGCGTCTGCGGCCCAGGGAGCATCTGATACCGACCAAGAAGCTGGCCCCCCAGCGGGCTGTGCTGTCCCTGCCCGAGCAGAGGGAGGGTCAACAGGTCAATGGCACAAATGAAGAGCATGTCTGGAGCACCGGGTGACCTCTGGACCAGCCAGGTGCACGGGCCAGGCGATTGCTGCACCGAGCCGGGGGGTGCCCAGCACAATTAAGGGGAGTGTCTGGCTGGCGCGGAGGCAGCAACCCCAGAGCTAGGCATTTGGGATACACCTGCCAGTCGCAGCGGCCACCTGCGATCACATTACCCCTCTGCCTAGGAATCACTAGTGCCCGGAGCTGCATTGCACAAGCAGACCAGCCTCCGTCGTGAGCACGGTGCGGCTCACACAGGGCGGCAGGACACGAGACACCCCCATACTGGCCATCAGGGGCTCTCCACGCTGGAACGCCAGTGGCCTCCTGACCCCAGGTGTCCCTTGGCCCAGGCGTGGCCGGCAAACAGCCCACGCCCCTCGCACTCTCCTCCGCCCTCGCGGCGCGATCTCCGCTCCCGTTTGCTGGTGCAGAGCCCCAGCGCCAGGCAGCTCGCTGGGCGCGAGGGGATGGGCGTGCAGAGCTGGCGGCTCCTAAGCAATAATTTAGCGGCCGGATGCTATTTTCAGCGGGTTGCTGAGAGACTGTGTCCCGCTCGGAGGGATCGGTTACCAGCCCCGAACAATGGGGTGTAACGCTAGAGCTCGGCCACGCTGGGAGGAGCCACGCCGGGAGGAGGGGGC